TAGAAGGTAGGAAATAAATTCATCTAGTGAACGTAAGGGTTTGAAAGGTAACTAACGCACATGTGTAGAGAAAATGGTGCATCGGCCAGTCTGGCCGGCATTTCGCACTTATAGTGCAAGTAGGGCCAAGGAGAACGGAAACGCTCATTTCTCAAAAAGTAAAGGGAATCTAGCGGTCTCACTCGATCAGAAGGTGGGAAATATATAAATCTAGTGAGCTAATAAGGTTCGAAAGGAATCTAATGCATATGTATATGGAAAATGGTGCATTGGCCAGGTCGGTCAGTATGGGAACTTAGAGTGCAAATGCCAGGGAGAACGGAAGCGCTCAGATCTCGCATAGTACACGGAATCTAGTGGTCTCACTCAAATAGAAGGTAGGAAATAATTCATCTAGTGAACGTAAGGGTTTGAAAGGTAACTAACGCACATGTGTAGAGAAAATGGTGCATCGGCCAGTCTGGCCGGCATTTCGCACTTATAGTGCAAGTAGGGCCAAGGAGAACGGAAACGCTCATTTCTCAAAAAGTAAAGGGAATCTAGCGGTCTCACTCGATCAGAAGGTGGGAAATTATATAAATCTAGTGAGCTAATAAGGTTCGGAAGGAATCTAATGCATATGTATATGGAAAGTGGTGCATTGGCCAGGTCGGTCAGTATGGGAACTTAGAGTGCAAATGCCTGGGAGAACGGAACCGCTCAGATCTCGCATAATACACGGAATCTAGTGGTCTCACTCAAATATAAGGTAGGAAATATATTCATCTAGTGAACGTAAGGGTTTGAAAGGTAACTAACGCACATGTGTAGAGAAAATGGTGCATCGGCCAGTCTGGCCGGCATTTCGCACTCATAGTGCAGGTGGGGCCAGGGAGAACGGAAACGCTCGTTTCTCAAAAAGTAGAGGGAATCTAACGGTCTCACTCGATCAGAAGGTGGGAAATATATAAATCTAGTCAGCTAAAAAGGTTTGAAATGTATTCAACGCACATGTATAGAGAAAATGGTGCATTGGCCAGGTCGGTCAGTATCGGAACTTAGAAGTGCAAATGCCAGGGAGAACGGAAGCGCTCAGATCTCGCATAGTACACGGAATCTAGTGGTCTCACTCAAATAGAAGGTAGGAAATAAATTCATCTAGTGAACGTAAGGGTTTGAAAGGTAACTAACGCACATGTGTAGAGAAAATTGTGCATCGGCCAGTCTGGCCGGCATTTCGCACTTATAGTGCAAGTAGGGCCAAGGAGAACGGAAACGCTCATTTCTCAAAAAGTAGAGGGAATCTAGCGGTCTCACTCGATCAGAAGGTGGGAAATATATAAATCTAGTGAGCTAATAAGGTTCGAAAGGAATCTAATGCATATGTATATGGAAAATGGTGCATTGGCCAGGTCGGTCAGTATGGGAACTTAGAGTGCAAATGCCAGGGAGAACGGAAGCGCTCAGATCTCGCATAGTACACGGAATCTAGTGGTCTCACTCAAATAGAAGGTAGGAAATAAATTCATCTAGTGAACGTAAGGGTTTGAAAGGTAACTAACGCACATGTGTAGAGAAAATGGTGCATCGGCCAGTCTGGCCGGCATTTCGCACTTATAGTGCAAGTAGGGCCAAGGAGAACGGAAACGCTCATTTCTCAAAAAGTAAAGGGAATCTAGCGGTCTCACTCGATCAGAAGGTGGGAAATATATAAATCTAGTGAGCTAATAAGGTTCAGAAAGGAATCTAATGCATATGTATATGGAAAATGGTGCATTGGCCAGGTCGGTCAGTATGGGAACTTAGAGTGCAAATGCCTAGGGAGAACGGAAACGCTCAGATCTCGCATAGTACACGGAATCTAGTGGTCTCACTCAAATAGAAGGTAGGAAATAAATTCATCTAGTGAACGTAAGGGTTTGAAAGGTAACTAACGCACATGTGTAGAGAAAATGGTGCATCGGCCAGTCTGGCCGGCATTTCGCACTTATAGTGCAAGTAGGGCCAAGGAGAACGGAAACGCTCATTTCTCAAAAAGTAAGGGAATCTAGCGGTCTCACTCGATCAGAAGGTGGGAAATATATAAATCTAGTGAGCTAATAAGGTTCGAAAGGAATCTAATGCATATGTATATGGAAAATGGTGCATTGGCCAGGTCGGTCAGTATGGGAACTTAGAGTGCAAATGCCAGGGAGAACGGAAGCCGCTCAGATCTCGCATAGTACACGGAATCTAGTGGTCTCACTCAAATAGAAGGTAGGAAATATATTCATCTAGTGAACGTAAGGGTTTGAAAGGTAACTAACGCACATGTGTAGAGAAAATGGTGCATCGGCCAGTCTGGCCGGCATTTCGCACTTATAGTGCAAGTAGGGCCAAGGAGAACGGAAACGCTCATTTCTCAAAAAGTAGAGGGAATCTAGCGGTCTCACTCGATCAGAAGGTGGGAAATATATAAATCTAGTGAGCTAATAAGGTTCGAAAGGAATCTAATGCATATGTATATGGAAAATGGTGCATTGGCCAGGTCGGTCAGTATGGGAACTTAAGAGTGCAAATGCCAGGGAGAACGGAAGCGCTCAGATCTCGCATAGTACACGGAATCTAGTGGTCTCACTCAAATAGAAGGTAGGAAATATATTCATCTAGTGAACGTAAGGGTTTGAAAGGTAACTAACGCACATGTGTAGAGAAAATGGTGCATCGGCCAGTCTGGCCGGCATTTCGCACTTATAGTGCAAGTAGGGCCAAGGAGAACGGAAACGCTCATTTCTCAAAAAGTAGAGGGAATCTAGCGGTCTCACTCGATCAGAAGGTGGGAAATATATAAATCTAGTGAGCTAATAAGGTTCGAAAGGAATCTAATGCATATGTATATGAGAAAATGGTGCATTGGCCAGGTCGGTCAGTATGGGAACTTAAAGTGCAAATGCCAGGGAGAACGGAAGCGCTCAGATCTCGCATAGTACACGGAATCTAGTGGTCTCACTCAAATAGAAAGTAGGAAATAAATTCATCTAGTGAACGTAAGGGTTTGAAAGGTAACTAACGCACATGTGTAGAGAAAATTGTGCATCGGCCAGTCTGGCCGGCATTTCGCACTTATAGTGCAAGTAGGGCCAAGGAGAACGGAAACGCTCATTTCTCAAAAAGTAGAGGGAATCTAGCGGTCTCACTCGATCAGAAGGTGGGAAATATATAAATCTAGTGAGCTAATAAGGTTCGAAAGGAATCTAATGCATATGTATATGGAAAATGGTGCATTGGCCAGGTCGGTCAGTATGGGAACTTAGAGTGCAAATGCCAGGGAGAACGGAAGCGCTCAGATCTCGCATAGTACACGGAATCTAGTGGTCTCACTCAAATAGAAGGTAGGAAATAAATTCATCTAGTGAACGTAAGGGTTTGAAAGGTAACTAACGCACATGTGTAGAGAAAATGGTGCATCGGCCAGTCTGGCCGGCATTTCGCACTTATAGTGCAAGTAGGGCCAAGGAGAACGGAAACGCTCATTTCTCAAAAAGTAAAGGGAATCTAGCGGTCTCACTCGATCAGAAGGTGGGAAATATGTAAATCTAGTGAGCTAATAAGGTTCGAAAGGAATCTAATGCATATGTATATGGAAAATGGTGCATTGGCCAGGTCGGTCAGTATGGGAACTTAGAGTACAAATGCCTGGGAGAACTGAAGCGCTCAGATCTCGCATAGTACAAGGAATCTAGTGGTCTCACTCAAATAGAAGGTAGGAAATAAATTCATCTAGTGAACGTAAGGGTTTGGAAGGTAACTAACGCACATGTGTAGAGAAAATGGTGCATCGGCTAGTCTGGCCGGCATTTCGCACTTATAGTGCAAGTGTCAAACATTATATATGTTATGGTTGTGTAGACTACAGTGGGTTAGCCTATAGGGGGTACACAATTCTAGGGTTTCCTATTTGTACTCATTTCACTGCTAGTTCATTCATTCCTGTTCGCTTATTCTCACATGGTATAGAGCGGGTCCTTCCTAAGGACCGTTTTTTTAGGGCCCACCGAAGCGCGCCCCGAGGCGCGCATTTTTTTTCGCGACCCTTCGGGTCGCCATTGCTCTCGCGGCCCCGCTGTCCCTCAGACGCGGCCCCGCCACCCCTCCTGAGCGCGGCCCCGCCGCCTCCTCTGACGCGGCCCCGCCGCCTCCTTTAACGCGGCCCCGCCGCCCGCTGATCGCGGCCCGCCGCCGGCTCTGATGCGGCCGCGCCGCCGCCTCCTGATCGCGGCCCCGCCCCGGCTCTGACGCGGCCCGCCGCCGACTCTGACGCGGCCCCGCCCCGGCTCTCTCGCGGCCTCGCCGCCGGCCCTGACGTGGCCCCGCCCCGGCTCTCACACGGCCCCGCACCGGCTCTCTTACGGCCCCGCCGCCGGCTCTCTTACGGCCCTGCCGCCGGCCCTGACGCCGCCCCTGCCCCGGCTCTCAAGCGGCCCCGCCGCCGGCTCTCTTGCGGCCGCGCCGCCGGCTCTCTTACGCCCCGCCGCCGGCTCTCTTACGGCCCCGCCGCCGGCTCTCTTACGGCCCCGCCGCCGGCTCTCTTACGGCCCCGCCGCCGGCTCTCTTGCGGCTTTGCCGCCAGCTCTGAAGCGGCCCCGCCCCGGCTCTCACGCGGCCCCGCCGCCGGCCCTCACGCAGCCTTGCCGCCGGCTCTGACGCGGCCCCGCCCCGGTTCTCCCACGAGGCCCCGCCGCCCCACCTGCAGCAGTCGGGCAGCAGTGCAGCCGAGCCGCCCTGCGCCCGAGCCGCCCTGTCGCCAAGCCGCCCGGGAGCCAAGCCGCCCTGCACCCGAGCCGCCCGGGAGCCGAGCCGCCTCGCACCCGCGCCGCCCTGCCGCCGAGCCGCCCGGGAGCCAAGCCGCTGTGCACCCGAGCCGCCCGGTCGCCGAGCCGCCTTTCTGCAGAGCTGCATGTCCTGCCCTGCCTGGTGAGCACAGTCCCATTGTCACTGCGTGCTCTTCCCCCTACTGTTTGCACTGCTTTGCTGTCGTCGCCATGGCTACCCCTAGTGTCCTAGCTTTTGACGCTGAGGGTCGCGCCATTGATTTTGAGGTCTGGTTAGACGACCTGCAGCTGTTCTTACAGTGCGACAGGGCTGACGGCCTTTCTCTCTTTGACCTCACCTCTGGCGCCTCTCCTGCTCCTGCTGCTGATGCTGATCCCACTGTCCGCTCTCAGTGGGCCACCCGCGATGCTGCTGCACGTCTTGCTGTGCGTCGCCACCTCCCTACCTCTGAGCGTGCGCACTTTAGTCAGTACAAGAGTGCTCAGACCTTGTACGACGCTGTAGTTGCGCGCTACTCCTCCCCTGCCACTGCTGCACTGAGCCGTCTCATGCTTCCCTACCTCTTTCCTGACCTCTCTGCCTTTCCCACTGTCGCTGACCTCATTACGCACCTCCGCACTAGTGACACTCGCTACCGCGCCGCCCTTCCTGCTGAGTTCTGCGCTAAGAACCCCCCCCCCATGTACATCGCTCTCTACTACGTAGTCGCGCGCCTCCCTGACTCCCTTCGCGTCGTCAGGGACCACTTTCTCGCAGTCTGTCCCACCACCCTCACCGTCGACCTCCTCGAGAAGGCCCTCCTCGCAGCGGAGAAGAGCATAGTCGCTGTAGGTGCTTCTCGTGGTGACCCTCGCACCCCCATCTTTGAGGGGTGCTCTCCTTCCCCCTTGCTGCCCTCTGTTGCCTCTGCTGCTGCTGCCGACCTGCTTGGTCTTGAGTCGGTCGGCGCGGCGTCTGCCCCTAGTGGGAGACGTCGCTCCTAGCAAGGGCAAGGGGGGCAAGGGCGCGGGTGGAGCTGGAGGGGGCGGTGGCGGTGGCGGCGGTGGCGGCGGAGGGAGTGGGGGTGGCGGCGGGAGCTAGTGGCGGGGGTGGTGGTGGTGGTGGCAGCAGCGGCGGAGACGGTGGTGGTGGTGCCAGCGGTGGTGGTGGAGGCAGCGGCGGAGGTGGAGGCGGCGGAGGTGGAGGCGGTGGAGGCGGCAGCGGAGGAGGCGGTGGTGGTGGAGGAGGGCGGAGCTGGTCGGGGTGGTACCCAGCAGCGTAGCGGCGGTGGTGGTGGCCAGCGCTCGCAGCGGCAGCAGCAGCAGCGCTCGCGGGACATCCCTCCGCCTCAGCAGCTTCGTGAGTGGTACGCTGGGCGTCAGAGGGGTGGGGGTACTGGTCCCTGCACCTACGTTCTTCGTTCCGGCGACCGCGCGGGTGAGCAGTGTGGGGGTGCCCACGCCACCCAGCGCTGCTTTGGCCGCCTGACGGACGCTTGGCGTCAGCAGTTCCCCTGGGGCTAGTGAGATCCCTCGCTGGGATGAGCTTCTTAGGGCTGGTGTAGCGATCTTTGATCTTGATTTTGATGCTATCCTTGCTGCTATGTATGCTGTGACTTATAGTGAGGAGAATGAGGGTTACCGGTGTTTCCAGCCCGACCCGGGCATTGGTACTGCTGCGCTAGGTGCTTGTGAGGCTGCTGCTCTAGGTGCCAGTGCGTCTGCGCTCTCAGGTACTGGTGAGACTGCGCTCTCAGGTACTGCGTCGTCCTCGTCCTCCCTCACTTTCACACTTGACTCCGAGGCTTCTCGCTCCTTCTTTCGAGACCGCACTACCCTTACGCCGCTCGGCCGGCCGGTTGCAGTCTCCCTTGCTGACCCCTCTGGGGGTCCTGTCCTGTCTCACTTCTCCACTGTCCTCCCGTGTCCGGCTGCCCCTTCGGGCACCCTGTCTGGTCTGTACCTTCCCTCGTTCTCTACGAACTTGGTGAGTGGTGCGGACCTGCAGGATGTGGGGGTTCACCAGTTCACTCCTGCGAGTCAGCGGGTGACCCACTGCACGGAGGCACGCACAGGCCGACACCTGGCCACGTTCTCGCGTCGGCCGGGGTCGAGTCTCTACACCCTGACCGTTGAGTCTCCTCCTGTCCCTGCGTCTGGTCAGGTAGGCTGCGTCAGGTCAGGTGCTTGCTGCTGCGTCCCGGTCAGGTCCTGAGTCTGCCCCCTGTTCTTGTCGCCTCCTGTCTCACGAGACTCTCCTGTGGCACCACCGTCTTGGCCACCCCTCCTTGCCCCGTCTTCGGAGCATGGCTTCCCGTGTCCTTGTCTCTGGTCTTCCCCAGTCTCTCCCTCCCTCTCCCCTCCGGGCCAGGACCTTCCTGTGTCCCCTGTGTCGAGGGTCGCCTCCGGGCTACTCCTCACTCCTCCCACTTCCCCCCGACAGAGGCTCCCCTGCAGACGCTTCACATGGATGTGTGGGGCCCAGCCCCCGTCCGTGGGCAGGGTCACGAGCGCTACTTCCTGTTGGTGGTTGACGACTACTCGCGTTACACCACAGTCCTCCCCTTGCGCAGCAAGGGTGCGGTCACTGAGGTGCTGATCGACTGGATCCGCGAGGCTCGTCTCCAGCTCAGGCAAGAGCTTCGGCTCGGACTTTCCTGTTCTGCGTCTGCACTCGGACAGAGGCGGAGAGTTCTCCTTCTCGCCTTCTGCGAGACTACTGTCGTGCACGGGGGATCCGCCAGACCTTCACGCTTCCGGACTCACCACAGCAAAATGGGATTGCTGAGCGCCGCATTGGCATGGTCATGGATGTCGCTCGTACGTCCATGATGCATGCGGCTGCCCCCCATTTTCTGTGGCCGTTTGCGGTGAGGTACGCGGCGCATCAGCTCAACCTTCACCCCCGGGTCTCTCGGCCTGCGATGTCCCCAGTCTTGCTGTGGACGGGGAAGGTTGGCGATGCGTCTGTGTTCCGTGTCTGGGGATCTCGGGCGTTTGTCCGCGACTTGTCTGCGGACAAGCTGTCCCCTCGTGCTGCTCCCTGTGTCTTCCTTGGCTTCCCCACTGACGCCCCAGGGTGGCAGTTTTACCACCCCTCCTCTCGTCGTGTTCTGTCCTCCCAGGACGTCACGTTCGACGAGTCAGTCCCCTTCTACCGTCTCTTCCCCTACCGCACTCCTTCCCTCCCCCCTCCCCCGGACTTCCTTGTGCCGGTTCCCCCCCCGGTAGACCCCCTCCCCCCTCAGGTTCCTGCCCCCTCAGGTGTGTCCCAGGTAGACGCCGTTGACCCGGTCGAGGTTACTGGTGACTCTGGTGCTGCTGCGGGTGCTGAGCCTGGGGGTGCTGACTCTGGGGGTGCTGTGCGCGGGGGTGCTGAGCCTGGGGGTGCTACTGCTGGGGGTGCTGGGCCTGGGGTGCTACTGCGGAGGGTGCGGAGCCTGGGGGTGCTGAGCCGGGGGGTGCTGTGCCTGGAGGTGCTGGGTCTGGGGTGCTGGGTCGGGAGCTGCTGAGCCTGGGGGTGCTGAGCTGGGAGCTGCTGAGCCTGGGGGTGCTGCGTCTGGAGCTGCTGAGCCTGGGGTTTCTCCTGCTGCTGCGTCTCGCCGGGAGCCCCTCTCTCCACAGGAGCTGCGCGAGTGGTTCGCTCGCCGCTGGAGGCGTGCTGCTGAGTCTGGAGGTGCTGCTGGAGCTGGAGCTGGAGCTTCTTCGACCGTCGAGGGTGCGGGTGCTGCCGGTCCCGGAGCTGCTGGACCTGCGGGTCCTCCTGGAGCTGGAGCTGCTGAGGGCGTTGGTGCTGAGCCTACTAGCTGTTGGTCCTGCCGCTGGAGGTGTGGGTGGCGCTGGTGCTGTCGCTGAGGGTGCTGGTGCTGTCCCTGCTGAGTCTGGAGCTGCCGCGCGGCCTCGGCCGTACTTCGTTCCGCTCCTGCAGCAGGTTCTTGGTCTTTCTCCTTCAGTAGAGGGTCCACAGCCGGTCCAGTCGCAGTCACTGCTTGGAGCCGTCCTCTCCACTGCCTGCTCCCTCTCCTTACACTGGTCCTACTGGAGGTCTTGCTGAGCGTCGTGAGCCTGCGTCTCGTCCCGCGTCGCCTGTTCGTGCTGCTCGTGCTAGTGGTCGCAGTTCGCGTCAGCGTCCTCCTCCTGTCCCTGGCACGCACCGGATGTCTCTGCGTCCGTCCACTGCTCCTCTGCGTGCCCCTTTGCCTTCTCCTCCTGAGTCCTCTCTTCCTGCGCTTGCCGACCCTGAGTCGGACTCTCTTCGTGCTGCCAGTCCTACTGTCACGCGTCTGCTTGCTACTGTCGTCACTGACCCCTCTTTTGAGTCCACTGCTGCGTCTGCTCTTGTCGCTGAGCTCGTCGACTTTGCTGCTCGCTGTCGTCTAGACTACGCTGCTAGTCTTGTTGCTGAGTCTGCGTCTGTCTGTCCTCCGTCCGTCGGGGGTGAGTGTGCTCTTGGCACGGACGTCCTAGAGGACAGGCAGGAGGAGTTACAGTGTCTAGCGGCCTGCTTCACCTCATCTCGCGTCTGTACTGCTTGCTCCTGAGGGAGACCCGGATGCACTAGACATCCCGACTCCGCGCTCTTACGCGGAGGCCGTAGAGGGTCCCTACTCCTCTCAGTGGCAGGCAGCTATGGATGCAGACATGGCTTCCTGGAAGTCCACAGGCACCTACGTTGACGCAGTTCCCCCTCCTGGGGCGAACATCGTCAGTGGCATGTGGATCTTCAGGGTGAAGCGGCCGCCGGGCTCTCCACCTGTCTTCAAGGCACGGTACGTTGCTCGTGGCTTCAGTCAGCGGCAGGGAGTTGACTACTTTCAGACCTTCTCTCCCACCCCGAAGATGACCACTCTTCGGGTGCTGCTGCACATAGCCGCTCAGCGCGACTACGAGCTTCACTCTCTCGACTTCAGCACTGCGTTCCTGCAGGGTAGCCTGCACGAGGAGATCTGGCTGCGCCGTCCGCCTGGCTTCACTGGGACTTTCCCTCCTGGCACCCAGTGGAGCCTCCGACGGCCAGTCTACGGTCTCCGCCAGGCACCGCGTGAGTGGCACGACACACTGAGGACTACGCTTGCGGCTCTTGGGTTTGCTCCGTCTACATGCTGACCCGTCGCTGTTTCTTCGCACCGACACTTCCCTGCCGCCGTTCTACATCCTCGTGTACGTCGACGACTTGGTCTTTGCCACAGCGGACACTGCTGGACTCGCCTACGTGAAGTCCGAGCTGCTGAAGAGACACACGTGCACAGACCTGGGTGAACTGCGCAGCTACCTTGGCTTGCAGATCACTCGGGACAGAGCACGCCGCACCATTACCTTGACTCAGTCACACATGGTGCAGCAGGTCCTTCAGCGCTTCGGCTTCACGTACTCCTCGCCTCAGGCCACTCTCTCTGTCCTACTCGCCACTCAGCTCTCAGCTCTGCCTTCGGATGAGTCCGTAGAGTCGAGTGGTCCCGTATGCCAGAGCTTGTTGGCTGCCTCATGTACCTGATGACCTGCACACGACCTGACCTTGCATACCCTCTGAGCATTCTTGCACGCTATGTTGCTCCTGGGAGACACCGACCAGAGCACATGGCTGCAGCTAAGAGGGTATTGCGCTACCTGTGCAGTACGTCGGGCATGGGGCTAGTGCTTGGAGGGCGGAGTCCAGTGGTCCTTACAGGCCACGCGGACGCTTCTTGGGCTGACGACCAGGCTACGCAGCGGTCGTCACAGGGTTACACCTTCAGTCCTTGGTTCCGGCTCTGTCTCGTGGCGGTCTACTCGCTTCGTCTTCGGTTCTCGGCTCCAGTTGTGAGGCTGAGATCTACGCCGGGGCCATGGCTGCACAGGAGCTTCGCTGGCTCACCTACCTGCTGACTGACCTTGGAGAGCCGCCTCGTTCTCCTCCAGTGCTGTACGTAGACAACAAGGCTATGCTGGCCTTGTGTCGAGAGCAGCGCTTGGAGCACAGAACGAAGCACATTGCTCTCCGCTACTTCCTTGCTCGTGAGCTGCAGCAGCCGTGGTCAGTTGCGACTTGCGTACGTGGCCTCTGAGGCCAACACTGCTGATGTGTTCACCAAGGCACTCGCGCCTTGTGACCATCAGCGCTTTTGCACCCAGCTGGGTCTTGTGCCTGTCTTGCCTCACTTGCTCTCCTCTTGACTTCACTTGTACTGTGACATATATATATACCTGCTCTTGCTTGTCTAGTTTTATATATATGTCTGTACTCCTGCATGTGAACTGGCCTCTGGCCCTGCTCTTGTGCTCGGACTGTGTGGTGACTTTGTGATCCACCCTGAGCTTGCTTTGCTTTGCTTGACTGGTCTTGTGACCCCTTGTTCTCCCCCACTTTGCCTATGGGGGTGTGTCAAACATTATATATGTTATGCTTGTGTAGACTACAGTGGGTTAGCCTATAGGGGGTACACAATTCTAGGGTTTCCTATTTGTACTCATTTCACTGCTAGTTCATTCATTCTTGTTCGCTTATTCTCACAGCAAGTAGGGCCAAGGAGAACGGAAACGCTCATTTCTCAAAAAGTAAAGGGAATCTAGCGGTCTCACTCGATCAGAAGGTGGGAAATATATAAATCTAGTGAGCTAATGAGGTTCGGAAGGAATCTAATGCATATGTATATGGAAAGTGGTGCATTGGCCAGGTCGGTCAGTATGGGAAGTTAGAGTGCAAATGCCTGGGAGAACGGAACCGCTCAGATCTCGCATAATACACGGAATCTAGTGGTCTCACTCAAATATAAGGTAGGAAATATATTCATCTAGTGAACGTAAGGGTTTGAAAGGTAACTAACGCACATGTGTAGAGAAAATGGTGCATCGGCCAGTCTGGCCGGCATTTCGCACTCATAGTGCAGGTGGGGCCAGGGAGAACGGAAACGCTCGTTTCTCAAAAACTAGAGGGAACTAACGGTCTCACTCGATCAGAAGGTGGGAAATATATAAATCTAGTCAGCTAAATAGGTTTGAAATGTATTTAACGCACATGTATAGAGAAAATGGTGCATTGGCCAGGTCGGTCAGAATCGGAACTTAAAATGCAAATGCCAGGGAGAACGGAAGCGCTCAGATGTCGCATAGTACACGGAATCAAGTGGTCTCACTCAAATAGAAAGTAGGAAATATATTCATCTAGTGAACGTAAGGGTTTGAAAGGTAACTAACGCACATGTGTAGAGAAAATTGTGCATCGGCCAGTCTGGCCGGCATTTCGCACTTATAGTGCAAATAGGGCCAAGGAGAACGGAAACGCTCAATTCTCAAAAAGTAGAGGGAATCTAGTGGTCTCACTCGATCAGAAGGTGGGAAATATATAAATCTAGTGAGCTAATAAGGTTCGAAAGGAATCTAATGCATATGTATATGGAAAATGGTGCATTGGCCAGGTCGGTCAGTATGGGAACTTAGAGTGCAAATGCCAGGGAGAACGGAAGCGCTCAAATCTCGCATAGTACACGGAATCTAGTGGTCTCACTCAAATAGAAGGTAGGAAATAAACTCATCTAGTGAACGTAAGGGTTTGAAAGGTAACTAACGCACATGTGTAGAGAAAATGGTGCATCGGCCAGTCTGGCCGGCATTTCGCACTTATAGTGCAAGTAGGGCCAAGGAGAACGGAAACGCTCATTTCTCAAAAAGTAAAGGGAATTTAGCGATCTCACTCGATCAGAAGGTGGAAAATATATAAATATAGTGAGCTAATAAGGTTCGAAAGGAATCTAATGCATATGTATATGGAAAATGGTGCATTGGCCAGGTCGGTCAGTATGGGAACTTAGAGTGCAAATACCAAGGAGAACGGAAGCGCTCAGATCTCGCATAGTACACGGAATCTAGTGGTCTCACTCAAATATAAGGTAGGAAATATATTCATCTAGTGAACGTAAGGGTTGAAAGGTAACTAACGCACATGTGTAGAGAAAATGGTGCATCGGCCAGTCTGGCCGGCATTTCGCACTTATAGTGCAAGTAGGACCAAGGAGAACGGAAACGCTCATTTCTCAAAAAGTAAAGGGAATCTAGCGGTCTCACTCGATCAGAAGGTGGGAAATATATAAATCTAGTGAGCTAATAAGGTTCGAAAGGAATCTAATGCATATGTATATGGAAAATGGTGCATTGGCCAGGTCGGTCAGTATGGGAACTTAGAGTGCAAATGCCAGGGAGAACGGAAGCGCTCAGATCTCGCATAGTACACGGAATCTAGTGGTCTCACTCAAATAGAAGGTAGGAAATAAACTCATCTAGTGAACGTAAGGGTTTGAAAGGTAACTAACGCACATGTGTAGAGAAAATGGTGCATCGGCCAGTCTGGCCGGCATTTCGCACTTATAGTGCAAGTAGGGCCAAGGAGAACGGAAACGCTGATTTCTCAAAAAGTAACGGGAATCTAGCGATCTCACTCGATCAGAAGGTGGGAAATATATAAATCTAGTGAGCTTATAAGGTTCGAAAGGAATCTAATGCATATGTATATGGAAAATGGTGCATTGGCCAGGTCGGTAAGTATGGGAACTTAGAGTGCAAATGCCAGGGAGAACGGAAGCGCTCAGATCTCGCATAGTACACGGAATCTAGTGGTCTCACTCAAATATAAGGTAGGAAATATATTCATCTAGTGAACGTAAGGGTTTGAAAGGTAACTAACGCACATGTGTAGAGAAAATGGTGCATCGGCCAGTCTGGCCGGCATTTCGCACTTATAGTGCAAGTAGGGCCAAGGAGAACGGAAACGCTCATTTCTCAAAAAGTAAAGGGAATCTAGCGGTCTCACTCGATCAGAAGGTAGGAAATATATAAATCTAGTGAGCTAATAAGGTTCGAAAGGAATCTAATGCATATGTATATGGAAAATGGTGCATTGGCCAGGTCGGTCAGTATGGGAACTTAGAGTGCAAATGCCAGGGAGAACGGAAGCGCTCAGATCTCGCATAGTACACGGAATCTAGTGGTCTCACTCAAATAGAAGGTAGGAAAATAATTCATCTAGTGAACGTAAGGGTTTGAAAGGTAACTAACGCACATGTGTAGAGAAAATGGTGCATCGGCCAGTCTGGCCGGCATTTCGCACTTATAGTGCAAGTAGGGCCAAGGAGAACGGAAACGCTCATTTCTCAAAAAGTAATGGGGAATCTAGCGGTCTCACTCGATCAGAAGGTGGGAAATATATAAATCTAGTGAGCTAATAAGGTTCGGAAGGAATCTAATGCATATGTATATGGAAAGTGGTGCATTGGCCAGGTCAGGTCAGTATGGGAACTTAAAGTGCAAATGCCTGGGAGAACGGAACCGCTCAGATCTCGCATAAGTACACGGAATCTAGTGGTCTCACTCAAATATAAGGTAGGAAATATATTCATCTAGTGAACGTAAGGGTTTGAAAGGTAACTAACGCACATGTGTAGAGAAAATGGTGCATCGGCCAGTCTGGCCGGCATTTCGCACTCATAGTGCAGGTGGGGCCACGGAGAACGGAAACGCTCGTTTCTCAAAAAGTAGAGGGAATCTAACGGTCTCACTCGATCAGAAGGTGGGAAACATATAAATCTAGTCAGCTAAAAAGTTTTGAAATGTATTCAACGCACATGTATAGAGAAAATGGTGCATTGGCCAGGTCGGTCAGTATCGGAACTAAAATGCAAATGCCAGGTAGAACGGAAGCGCTCAGATCTCGCATAGTACACGGAATCAAGTGGTCTCACTCAAACAGAAAGTAGGAAATATATTCATCTAGTGAACATAAGGGTTTGAAAGGTAACTAACGCACATGTGTAGAGAAAATTGTGCATCGGCCAGTCTGGCCGGCATTTCGCACTTATAGTGCAACTAGGGCCAAGGAGAACGGAAACGCTCATTTCTCAAAAAGTAGAGGGAATCTTAGCGGTCTCACTCGATCAAAAGGTGGGAGATATACAAATCTAGTGAGCTAAATAAGGTTCGAAAGGAATCTAAGTGCATATGTATATGGAAAATGGTGCATTGGCCAGGTCGGTCAGTATGTGAACTTAGAGTGCAAATGCCAGGAAGAACGAAAGCGCTCAGATCTCGCATAGTACACTGGAATCTAGTGGTCTCACTCAAATAGAAGGTAGGAAATA